GACATACTTTAAATGAACCAATCGGTGATAGAGTCATAGAAAGTTTATGTAATACCATCACAAATGAAATTGGTATATAGAGGATGTCGACGGACAAATGTCTGAGATACTCCAATCTGTGTCTAGTTCTTTCTGGCGTATTCTTCTATTGTCTGGCATACTCCTTGTACCACGTACTCCTATTTGATACAACTTGGGTAGTAATATTTGGTATAACAGTTGTATTACTTGGTACAACTGTAAGTATACGGTACAACTAAATATTACTTGGTACAACTATAAAGACATGTAACAACTAAAATAAAAAAATACATGGTACAATTAGAGCTTCCTAGACATTAACTTAGTCAATAAAAACGTTCTAAACATTCTCTCGATGTGGACTACCTTACTTAAAAAAAAATACTATGAAACTTTTTATTATTTTATGAAATTTTTATTATGTTCTTACATATAAAATAGTATAATATTATGTTTTTGGAAAATAATTAATCGTAGCGACGATCAAATTAACAATACAGCGATCAATCGCACTGACAAGTAGCCGATAGCCGAACAAATGCCGATCGTACTGATTGAACAAGTTTAGCAGTCAGTTTTTGTATTTCATCAAAATTTAATATCTTTGTCCTTTCTTTATCACTCGGAATTCTCTCCGTAAGACAATCGAGAAAGTGGAGAACTTGTGATGACGACGAAGAAGTCAAAATCAAAACCCCAGTCTCTATCAGCACGCCGTACCTCGCCGCGTACTCTCTCCAGAGCTTTACCGGAACGTAAAGTCTCCCCGGGAACCGACGGGATTCCTCGAACGCCATTTTCCTTCGGAGCCATAACTCCCGTCGTCGGAACCCTAAAATCCTTCTCGTTATCCGATTGGTGGCTGACGAAGAAGACAAAGGAGAAGGTTTTATGTATCGAAGGATTCGAATCGAAAAGCGGATCTGTAGTGAGGAGACTATTTTCATCAGGAGCAATCTCGAAGAGACACGACAGTACCAATCTCGAGACATTCGATGGGATTACAGTTTGTATCAATGGATTCATCAATCGATTGCGTACTTTGCAAAACGGAATCTCGCTTGAGGTTTGCAATCGTTTTCTGTTAGGGTTTCCGTATAACTGGAAAGATTACAATGAAGAAGAATCATTAAAGAAGAAGACAGATTTGAGCATTTCGTTTGATGATATTCCCGTGAGTAGGTTACATGATCTTCTACTGACGTCTTCTCCTTGCTTGGATGGTCTAGTTGACAGTTTAAGAGACCTCACTTGTCCTTCTAAGACGCAGAAATCAGATAGGAAAGGTGAGAAATCAGGAATGGATAATGATGGTGAGAAGAGATTGGTTCCTATGGTTTTGGGAGTGAAGACTAGAGGCATGCTTAGACAGAGAGAAGAAAATGAAG